AAACAATTACAGTCAAACAGGAAGATCCACAGGAACAAACAGGTTAGTTTTCATTCTCATAGACCAACTCAGTCATTTAATCCTCATTCAGATATATTTTAATAATAAGAATACTAAATTAAATCCATCTTGCAGCCCTGAGTGTGCTGCCTAGTTCTCCTAAATGCACTTAAGCACTCATTGAAAGACAGAATGAGTTTCATCTGTTACTTGTTCTCATGTCTTTTGTCATTCTTTTATGTATTATTAGTCTCCCATTTTCATGATCATGGGCCAAAAATATAGTTATCGTGATGATAATACGATTAATCTCGCAATCTATATACCCTTTCATTATGTTCTTGGCTGTTTTTGACCCATTGGCTTCCATTATAACCACATTTTTTAACCGCAAAGCCATGACACCAAATAATCATGCGTTCTAGATTGTTGCTGTTTTCCTTGTTGGGAAGAGGTCAAATGTGTCATTTTTACTGTTGATCATCAGTTGGCTGCATTCACCCTTTAGATGGGCCTGTTCAAAAAAGTTTCTGTCTTTTATTTGGAGTTCAGTGGAGTAAAACAGCAGATTATAGTGTGAGTGCATAAATACACTTTATAGTGGGACCAACAGATTTAACCCAAAAATGACCAGTCTATCAGATGAAGAAGAGCAGGAGTCAGAGATTCAATTAAAAGAAAGTTTACTGTAGATAGTTTGCAGTTTCATCAGCAGAGGCCAGCTTAAACACTCACAACAAGTTTGTAAAGCGCTCTACATACAATCTCAGAACAACAACAATTAGATGTCTAGAATTCTCTCTTTTCTCTCTATGCAAACTGTTTTAAGAAATGTGTCAGTAAAGTGCACTGAAACTTTACAAAAACAAAACACACAGGGAATATTTGAACCTATCAGTTTACAATATACTGATGCCTGTTTTTCCAGGCTTTATTGGTGAAAATGGTCAGAAACGTTGGACCATTATTGCCTTTTTAGCATAAGCAGAGGAGAGAAACTAGCCAGACAGTAATCTGTGAATTGTGGAGCGGGCAAAATCTAAAGAAACATGTATTTTTTAGTAAGTGTACTTTTTTGTTATTGTTGTTGTTGTTGTTGTTGCTTTTATTCTTGCCATAATAAAAATATGTATTTGTAGGGCAGCCCATGTTCTGCTGTCATTAATATTTAAGAAATTATAATGGGTAAAACTGTCCGAGATATGAACAAAAGCAAGTGATGCACCAAAGTTTGATAAAAAAAATCTTGAATGGTCATAAAAATCCTTATATCATTAAAATAATTTATAAAAACAAAAAATCTATTTAGTTTAAAAACATTGAACGATATTAACGAAATGACGTAGTTTCGGAAACTTTCTACTTCTCTGTTTATCCGTCTGACTTTACAGTGGGTTGCTTTTGACCGCCCCCTGTCATTTTCAAGAATATCACAATGGCGAACAAGGCGAGTAAGGCCTCGTCCATTTCGCGAGGTGAGCGTGCAGTCAGCGGTGGTGTGTGATGCGGTGCCAGGCTAGAGTATTCACCTTATTCTTCGCCGACGAGCGGGCGGAACCATTTGAATCTTTTTGGCACGAGACTTCCGGTCTCATTCACTTACATTCATTTTTAGACATTAAAAACTGCTATTTTCACAGTTTGATGTTGAAAACTGATATTTCCTTATTATATTATTCTACTTGGTCTGTATAGTCATGCAAACATTTGCTTGTTGAGCAAGTAGTTTGACCATTTTCTGCCGTTTATTATTCCTAGTCATTTCTACCTTAGGCGACTGAATCGGAAGTTCTAAAACAATCGCGAAAACAGGCGCACTTCCGCATTTTAGACTAAGGTCAATAAATCCAGCTTCTCTCTCTTTCTCCCTCTCTCACACACACATACACACACACACACTATACTCCATATATAAGGCAGAAACTTTTTTGCACTGAAACTGATAATCAATTTTAAAAATCACAAATCTCTTCCCAACAGGGAAATGTAATGGTGATGTGGGAATGGTGATCCCCCCCAAAAATACAATAAACAAATATTAAACAAATATGTTTGTCACTTGTTTTTAAGTAGTTAATCTTGGGCGCCAGACAGAATATCTGTCAAAATACATTTCAAACAAAATATACCACGGCTAGCTCTCACCACCAGTTACAAATAATAAAAAATAAATAAATAAATAAAATAACAAACAATGAGAACCAGAAAAAAACTCAGATAATTGCTGTAATTGTCTAAATAAAGTTTGTATTAGTCAATAATATTAATAAAAAATACTTTTCACACACAAACAGCAGTATCAACAACAAAACAAACAATATAACAATGAAACGCAGAACCCTCAGCACTTATAACTCAAATGAAAGAAAAAAATGCAAATGATTTCAGGCCAGCAGATTTGTCTGATTTGAAAACGGGGAAAATAATAATGATAACAATAGTACGGGGAGAAAACAAAACAAGAGAAACAAAATGAGCATTTGGGCAAAGAAAACAAAAACTTTTGCTTCTTACCCACGGAGTGGAGTGGTCAAGGGACATGAGTGGGGAATGGCGAATGTGGATGTGAAGGTTGAGGGTGTTGTTGAACCCAGCCGGTGAGTTGGCAGCTGACTCCATGCCAGCGAGAAAGATAAATCGGTGAGTTGATTTTGTTCAGGACACACTGCACTGAAGTCTTTTGTGCAGTGGCGTAAAGCAAAATGCGGAGGCCCCCCTGCAGGGATCGCTGACGGGGCCCCCTGATGAAGTTTGGGGGGGGGATGGATGCGTCATACGTCAATTTGCATATCACTGACGTCATCACGTTCTACTGTTTCTGTTTGTTTAACAGCCTATGGTTAATAAAGGGGTATTAATAATTGCACTACACTTTATAAAAGCATGTTTATTTAACTAAATGTATTGCTGTTTGAATACAGTATGTCATTATAGATGTGTAGTGAATGTGCAGTAATCTCTCATATGTAATAAACTCAGACAAGTTTACAAACTGTCACTAAAATATCTGTGATTGTGAACAAGAAAAGAATAAACGGTCCAATTAAATTGTTAAAATAAAGGAGAAGTAGATCGGATTGACTGTACAAGGGAAATACCTTCACACTGCCTGTGCTAAACCATTTGTCGTCGGTACGCAGAGGGGTGATCTGCTCTCGGGCTGCAGGTGGGAGAGGCTGCTGTACGAGGACTGACTAGGCCGCCTGTCAGTGCTGTGAGGCGGGGGAGGGGTCGGCGGCATCACACGCAGCTCGTTGAGAAGAGTAGGGACGGTACAGTATGGACAAATGACAGTCTACAAAAAAAATCTCCAATAACACACAAAAAAGTCGATAGATTTGTCGCTAGGGGGGTCTGAAAAATCGCTAAATCTAATGACAAAGTCGCTAAGTTGGCAACATTGGCGGCAAGCAATCAGAATGAAGTAGTCCACCGCTTGAGAGGTGTTCAGAGAACACAGACCTGTGAACTTTGGTTCCGACTACAGTTGTTCCCAAGAGTTTGATTATTGCGGTTGCCGAATTATCAATTATTGAAAATCGCAACAAGCGGGGCCCCCTAATCACACGGGGCCCCCCCGCGGTGCGTGCCCTGCGGGCCCGTCCGCTACACCACTGCTTTAGTGACGCACACATTCAACGACGTCACGTGCACTTCAGTAACAAGACAGCGGTCTTTGCTCTGTTGCTTCAATACATACTTCCGCTTTTTGTTTCTCACAGCCAGTCGTTAAGTTTACACTGCTCATCTCGACCCGACTTCTCTACTCGTTTCCCCACTCTGCAACAGTTCAGTCAACCTCTCTTTCTTCTACACACCACATAATGCTGCCTTCTTTAACTCTCCTCATCCTCCTTTATTCTCTCACCCATTTCCTTTTTGCCGTCACAAAGAACACCAACAATCATAAATTCATGAATATGTGCTGTCATGGCTTTGCAATAAAAAATGTTCTTATAATAGAGGTCAATGGAGAAAAAACAGCCATGAATATAATGAAAAGGGAGTAAATTTGCCCAGAGTGTATTGAGGTTTTTAAAAAAATTTTTTAAAGCATTTTCCCATTGATGGGGACTTCATTGTGTCTTGATGAATTTATTACTCTCATTTATATGCTTATTTGAGTGATTTCCATGTTGTTGTTGTTATTATTATTTATTGTATTTTATTTGCACTATAAAAATTTTTATAATAGAGGCCAATAGAGCATTTTTCCAGAATATGTCAAAATAAGATGTCCCCAAATATTAGTCCATTTGCTGAAACACCGAGAACGTTTTGGCCAAATTAAGCCTCAAAATCACCCCGGAATGGATGAAAATGACCCAACAGCACACAAGGGGAAAGGTGCACATTCCAGCCTTTATGCAGATGCTGTACAGGTATGTCTCATATCTGTGAGGCAAATATTCAGCTGTTACCCCAGAACTTTTTTTCTGATACATTTACCAGTCAGGCACACAATGAACAAGTGTTCCCTGTCTGCTTTACAAATCGTAGAAATCTTTGTTTTATCAATATGACCAAAATGACTTTTATGAAAAACTCTGAAAACTGGACTGACACTGTTTAAATTTACTATAACTTCTATGTTAAGCAGCTTTGACACAATTTACATTGTAAAAGCAGTAGATAAATAAAGATGAATTGAATTGAATCTGCTTAAATGTGTACACGTTAATGGACCTAACAAAATATGATCTGATTTATTTTACATTTAATGTGAATCAAAATTACAGTGTGTGAAGCCAATGTTTTCAGTGTCTTTTCACTTTTCAGCTTTTGATGAGAGTTTTTAAGACTTAATGAAAACTAATGTTTTATTTATTTCAGACCTAATTGAAGAGAATGAGGAGAGTAAAGAGGAGGAACATCATGTCAAAATTGAGGAAAAAACTCATTTACAGACTGATGGTGTTTTAAAAAGGAGAGACAAGAATCGTTTCACCTGCACTCAGTGTGGAAAGAGTTTGGCAAGCAAAAGCAAACTTAAGATTCACATGATGATCCACACTGGAGAGAAACCATTCACATGCACTCAGTGTGGAAAGAGTTTCAACATATCATCTCACCTTAATCACCACATGAGGATCCACACTGGAGAGAAGCCATTCACATGCGCTCAGTGTGGAAAGAGTTTCAACCAATCATCTCACCTTAATTATCACATGATGATCCACACTGGAAAGAAACCATTCACATGCACTCAGTGTGCGAAGAGTTTCAACCAATCATCACACCTTAATCTACACATGATGATCCACACTGGAGAGAAACCATTCACATGCACTCATTGTGGGAAAAGTTTTAACTGCTCATCACACCTTATTCAACACACGAGGATCCACACTGGAGAGAAACCATTCACATGCACTCAGTGTGGGAAGAGTTTCAGCCACTCATCACACCTTAATCTACACATGAGGATCCACACTGGGGAGAAACCATTCACATGCACTCAGTGTGGGAAGAGTTTCAGCCAATCATCACACCTTAATCTACACATGAGGATCCACACTGGAGAGAAACCATTCTCATGCACCATTTGTGGGAAAAGTTTTAACTGCTCATCACACCGTAATCAACACATGAGGAGCCACACTGGAGAGAAACCATACACATGCACTCAGTGTGGAAAGAGTTTCAGCAAATCATCATCCCTTAATAAACACGTTGAACGAACTCATGGGCATATTGCAGTGGTCAACACAAGCTGAATCTGAAATCCTGGGCATCTGCAAATTGTCTCTGTCTTTAACTGGCTTAAGGGCTTAAACCATCACGATAACAAAGCACCAATACTTTGGCCGCAGATGTTCCAGGTACCCTTCAGCAAAATTAGTAAATGATTTAAACTAAACAAAGGGGCTTTACAGGATTTTCAGCAGGAACCGCCTCACGAGACTTTTAAATGACTCCTCTACATGGTCATGTGCTTTGGGCACATCCTGTCAGATGCACAATTTCATAGAGACAAAGAGATCTCTAGAAACATTAATGCATACAAATGAAAGACAATCTCTTAAAATATTAGAATGTTTTAACCCTTAAAGCAGATTAAATTGATCTGCGTGTGTCTGAAATGTATGATATCTGGTCTTGAATGAAAGCTAGTGACATTTGCAATCTGTTGGTTTAAATGAAAAACTAGTAGTACAAACAGTATTCATCTTGTAACATTTGATGTAAGATAATTTTAATCTTGCAAGAGTTTTACCATGTAAAATTTACATGCAGTCTGTTAATGATTGACCCTTTCTACGTGGGCACGCGGTGTGGCCCCGCCCTTCATGGCAACTGCTCATTGGCAGGCAGTGCCATAGGGATGGATCAGACCAGGTCACTTAAAAACACCCTGCAACAAAGAAACTTTGCTTTGAAACCGCACGAACTTCCGCAAACCGACATTCAGCAGTCCGTCACCTTAGTAACCCAGAACTACCCACCCACGAGCGAGGGAATTCCAAGGATGTCACAGAAGCCACCAGCCAATCAGGAGCACTGTGTTTACCCAAGGCCAACTGGTGAGGGAGATTCATCTTCAGCAAAGGTGCAAGTAACAAACAAACGTTGTCTCTTGCTGATCTGGAGCAGATTGATCGTAAGCAGTTAAAGATAAGCCATATCTCTGCTTTTGTGGTTTCTCAGGTGTGATTCTAAGATCTTGTTAGAAGTTTGTAACGAACAAACGTTACATGCTTTGTGTTACAAGGTGGTGTTACAAGTTTTAGAATGAATTTGGGATGGTTGTTAACTCTTTACATCCTCTGAACTGCCTCTGTGTGTGCGAGTTTGTTTGTTGTTTGCTTATTACGTAGTTAGTTTCATGTATCGTAGTGTAGCTCAATAAATCTTTGTTCTCATTTTGTAAGAATTGTGTTCTTGTTTATGTGCTTCTAAGTCATTGCCTCGAGCTGTAGATCTTGTTACCTTGCTAAAAGTTAACTCAGTACTGTGTTATGTTATTACCGTTGGCCACGTAAATAATATTAACAAGATTGGTAAGATACAATGACTTCAATTTGCAAGACAAATGGTAGATAAAGTGTGAATCTTTTAATCTGATTCAGTCTGACTCAATTGAGTCAAATCAATGATACAAATCTTTAAGATCCGGTACATTGAAATGAGCTAATAAACCCTGGTCGATCTTAAAATGTAGGTTGATCCCCTACCACATGATGAGCCGTACTGTAGAGAAACCATTCACTTGCACTTAAGCCACGGTCACACTGGACTTTTCTCCCCATAGATTTCCATTCATACGCACGCGAATGCGCCAGACCGGAAATGCAAGTTCGTGCATCAAGTTTTGCAGTTCACTGCATTGTAAAGTTCAAGCTTGGTGAACTCTGACCTGCGAAATCACATCACTTGACAGTGTGAGACCAATCGAATATCAAAACATGACTTCTCTGGACAGAAATGTAAAATATGGACCAACCGCTCTCCTTTTTAATGTCTAAAAATCTTATTTAATCCCGCCCCTTTTTGCAGTGCCGTACAACAGAATTTTTCATGCTCAATGCTCTAATGTGACCGCAGCTTCGGTGTGGAAAGTTTCAGCAACTCCTCAGACCTTAATAAATGTATGAAGACCCACACTGGAGAGAAACAATTGACATCTACTCAGTGTGGGAAGAGTTTCAACGAATCAGCAGAAGAGTTTCAACGAATCAGCAAAACTTAATGACCACATGAAGATCCACACTGGTGTGAAAGAGTATGTGTGCTTGAGTGTGTGAAGACTTTTATTACAGCTCCAAAATTTAAACTGCACCAGGCGATTCACACTGGAGAGACCGTATAAGTGTTTACAATGTGACAAGAGGTTTAATCACTTAACACATCTGAAAACACACACTGGAGAGAAACCGTACAGATCTGGGGCCTCATGTATCAACGCTGCGTACGCACAAAAACTTTGCGTACGCCAGGTTTCACGCTCAGAATCGCTCACGTTTGGATTCACTAACAATGAACTGAACGTGGGAATGTGCGCAGGTTCACGGCAGCTTTCTGGCAGGCGTACGCACATTTTTTGTGCGTGTCTGTTTTATTTCCATTGGCGACTCCTAGAGGCAGTTGTGTTAAATTCCATTCTACAAAGTGTCTGAGCCTTGCAATGGCAGCTGTATGAGACGGGTTCAGCAGGTATATAAGGTTTCCATACCATACATTTGACCAGCTAAACATTAAAGCACAATTTGCAGCAGTCGCCTGTTTTCCCAATGTAATCTGAGCAATCTACCGCACGAACATTGCTATAAAGACACTATTTGAAGATGAATTTGCATGCGTGAATCAGAAACATTTCCATTCAATAAATGTGCAAATAAAATATGATGCTTATTGATATGAACTTATTGATGATTCCTACTTGTCTTTCTCGTGATAAATAGTTGGCAAAATCTGATATGTAGCGGGGGAAAAAACAAGAAAGAGTTCATCAGACGCTGGATTCGAGCCGAGTTCATGCTCGAACGTATCAATTCATGATCACATGTATGGCGGCATATCAATGCCAATATTAATCGAGCGCAGAGGTGATGTTTGCGCGCGAGGAGAAGTGAACCGTGAGCAGATTACAGGTTTACACGCGAGAAAACAACAGCTCGCGAGCGCACAGGGGATCTTCACGCGCGCGCTCAACTGATCCAGCGCGAGAAAACAAGTCCCGCGCGCGCACATCATCATCTGTGCGCACGATATACGCTCTCGCGAGCGAGGTCATGCATACAGCGCGCGCGCGATCAGTTCTCTCCGCTCGCTCGCTGGTTCTTCTCTCTGCTCGCGCGAAACAGTTAGATTTTTGTCAGTCCTGGGGCGGGACTTGGTTCACTTGTTATCTCTAGCGCTATTGGCTACTCTACCTTTCCGGAAGTTAGCCGGGATTGGACGCCGATTAAACGACGAACCATAATTCACGTGATCTTATCACCACGTAAGTTATCATTTTTATAAGTTAGTAGCACGTAAGTTATCATTTCATTTATTATGAAAATTATTGCCTTTGTTAGAAAAGGTAGTTATTAGAAACTTTATTAACAGGCGCCCTGTTTACTGACATATTGTCTTGTTAAATCGACTAATCTACTTAATCTTTAATTTATATTTAATTTACACAAAGCAAATTAAAATTTTTATTATGCTTACTTTGTAGTCAAAGTATCAATACTTCATCAATATATGCAATTGCACCATTGAAGGTAATAAAACTACATTATTCACAAACTAGTGTATACTTTATATTTGGTATTCTGTTCAAATAAAGTATATAGCATTGCACATTGTATTTTTTCTTTCACATTTAAGTTTTCATTATATAATTTTTGTTTAGAGGGTGCACCGCAAAAAATGCTTTTCTTGTTTGGATTTTGTCTTGTTTCTAGTATAAATATCTAAAATCTCTCATATCAAGAAGAATTTTCTTGACGAGCAAAACATATTGTCTTGTTTTGAGAAATAATATGCCAATGTGAGTTTTTCCTTAAAACAAGCTAAATAATCTGCCAATGGGGTAAGCAAATTAATCTTGTTTTTTCTTTTGACGTAAGATTATTTTGCTTACCCCATTGGCAAAAACTCAATTAATATTAATATATTATTTCTCAAAACAAGACAATATGTTGTGCTTGTGTAGAAAATTCTTCTTGATTTAGGAATTTTTAGATATTTGGAATAGAAACAAGACAAAAAATCTAAGTGAGAAGAGCATTTTTGCAGTGAGTATACTTACAGCATTATTTATTATGATTTTGATAGTTTACAAAGACTAATTTCTGTTTCTGATGGATTACATCTTTTGCTAATCTGTATTTTGCAGCAGATTCTAAAAAAGCATCTTTTGGAAGACATTCTTTCCAAGTTTGAGAGAACACTTTTGAGATCTCCACTTGATGTGGATTACCTGACGTTTGTGTGTCGCCAGCAACTGTATCTCCTGCAAGCACTTTCAAGGCATGTGGAAATTTCCCAGGAAATAGTGCAGGCTTTGCAGCAAGTGTTTGAATTGGCACAACAACCATCAAACTTCATGGTTTCCCGAGCAGTGATGGAATTAACTGGCCTGAGAGGTCGTCCAAAGTTTGCTATTGGGAGAAAAGAATTGGAGGAGTTGCTGCAGACAAACCTTCCTGTGCCCTGCATTGCAAAAATAATAGGCATTTCTACTAGAACGGTCTTCAGAAGGATGAGTGAGTTTGGCCTTTCCGTCTCAGGGCTGTACAGCAGCATTACTGATGAGGAGTTGGATAATACTGTAAAAGCCATTAAAGATGACATGCCTGCTGCTGGCTACAGAATGGTCAGAGGCAGGCTGTTGTCTTTAGGCATGCGTGTGCAGTGGCAGAGGATAGCAGCCTCTATGCACAAAGTTGATTCAGTGGGAATCCTGTCTAGAATGGCTAGATTGGGATGTGTTGTGCGAAGAACATACTCTGTTCCAGGGCCCCTGTCTCTTGTGCATGTAGACACCAATCACAAATTGATACGGTAAGTTTTTAAGTTTAAATTTATTTATTTTGAATTGCATATGTTTTTCTAACAATAGAAAAGTATTTAAAAGCCTTGGATTATAAAGTTAGCCAAACAAAATTACAATAACAGCGCTCTTGCCTCACAGCAAAAAGGTCGCTGGTTTGAGCCTCAGCTGGGTCAGTTGGCGTTTCTGTGTGTAGTTTGCATGTGTTACGTAGGTTTCCTCTGGGTGCTCCGGTTTCCCCCACAAGTCCAAAGAAATGTGGTACTGGTGAATTGGGTAGGCTAAATTGTCCATAGTGAATGAGTGTGTATGAGTGTTTCCCAGTGATGGGTTGCAGCTGGAATGTCATCCGCTGCAATATTGCTATTTTTTTTCTATCTTGGAAATAGATACAACATTGTGATATTTGGTGGTCTGGATGGTTATTCCAGGAAGGTATGTTTTCATTTATTTTTTTTAATGATGTCACCTGATATTAGACCTATTTCCATTACAAATTGACTACGAAAAATTTTTGTATGTATTTCTACAAATCTGTACTTATTGTTTTTTTTTATTATTTGCAGATTATGTACTTGAATGCAGCAAACAACAACCTGGCATCAACAGCATTTCACTTCTTCACAGAAGCAGTTCAAAAATTTGGCTTACCGTCAAGGTGTGCGTAGTTGTATAAATACAAACAAAAAAAGCTTTTTTTAAAAAATGTTTAATATTCTTCTCACATAAGGGTAAGGGGAGACCATGGAGTGGAAAACGTGAATATAGCCAGGTTCATGTTTTCTTCAAGGGGCACTGACCGTGGAAGTTTCATAGCTGGAAAAGTGTCCATAATCAAAGGTAAAGTACAATTGTCTAAATTTTATAAAATGTTTTCATTTTTTTATTTTATAAAATGTAATCGCTTCATAAATATTATTTTAGTAAACTTACTTATACTTTGACCAAAATGTTTTTAGTATGTTATTAACTTTATACAACATGACATTGCATGTAGTTTTATTTTTTGAATTAGTACATCAGTCGGTATAGCAGCTTGTTATTAAAAACTATTTTAATATATTAGTATTTTGATCATTTTAGATGTCTTCTCTTTGTTGCTTTTTTATCTCATTGTGTTTCTAATAGGATTGAACGCCTTTGGTGTGATGTCAGAGTTGTTGTGATAAACAAGTACTTGGCCATGCTACACTCCCTGGAAGATGAAGGATTGCTGGATTTATCAGCGGTTGTAGACCTGTTCTGTCTTCACTACACCTTCCTCCCAAGACTTCAGGCAGACTTGGACACCTTCACAGAATCGTGGAATCATCATCCACTCTCCTCAGAGAGCAATCGAAGTCCAGAACAGCTATGGCAGGTTGGACTGATG